GGAATTCTGGGAGTTGAAGTCCTCTCATCTTAAAGTAGCCAAGTTTGGACAACACTGGGATATGGGTATACAAAGCTGAGTGTTTTAAGAATACCAGTTTGTAGGATGCAAAATGAATCATTTATGACTATACATTTTTTTTTCATAAAAGTTCTCTAGATGAAAAAAACAACAACTGAATTTTAAAAATGTCCTTGGTTTACACCTAGTTAGAAATGTAACTTTCATTGACCTTAATTATTTCTCCAAGTGAAAGCTATTTAGGTAAAGTGGATTGCTCTCATAATACTCTGCTTCACCTTCTATTTCAATTATTCAAGAACACACTTCTTAAAATAAGTCTCTCATCCATTAAACAAGACAGGAATTTATAATCTAGGCACACCACGTAGGTTTCAGTAAACAAAAAAAGAACACAACTAGAATTCTCTCTGGCTGTTTCTCAGCTCTCTGGCCCCTAATGCACAGCCCAGTACATTTGTCAGGCTAGAAACTGCTGACTCTCAATGTCACTCCTGGATAAAGAATAGATTTGTCCTTTCAAAACCATTGAAACTTGCTTTCAGGGACCAAAGAGCAGATCCTGCAGACATGCAAGATTCGGAGTGTGGATTTTATTGTCAGAGAACAGCTGTGTTTTTGCTGAATTGTCTTTTAAGTGTTCTCTGCCTCCTCTGCACACACACACACACACACAGAGCACTTTTATAACTAACTTTTTTTTCTTCTTGTTGAATTTCTATCTGAGGTCAGCTTTTAAACAAAAGAGGTGAGCTTGACAAGGACTGCACATGGGAATAACTTCTGCTGAATGTTATGCTCTTTTTGGCTATAATATGCCGGGTTTGCTAAAAATGTAAAGATTAGATAAAGGTACATATTCATCTCATGGCTCTGTTCGCCACACAGGACCACAGCCATAAGGCTCCGCTGACTGTCAAAGAGGATTCTATCACTGTTTCTTCTCAGATTAATGCAGGGTTTCTCAACTGTGTCAACTTTAAGTTGTGTGGACTTCAATTCCCAGAATTCCCCAGTTGGCATATGCATGGCTAGGGATTTCTGGGAGTTGAAGTCCACACATCTTAAAGTTGCCAAGGTTGAGAAACCCTGGATTAATGAATGAATGCAGGAAGTCAGTAAAACCTTCCTCTTCACTTGGTGGGATGAATGGATGACATGGCTACTAAAATACAGCCTGTAGAGGCATGAAGAACATTGTATATTATACCTGATAAGCCACTACCCAATGGTCATGCTATGATTGAAAGTTATAAATCAGAAGGGTATATATGTTAGAGTTAACATAGTTTAGTGGACAAGGTGATAAACTGGAGAAGGAAAGAGCAAAATTCAAGTCCTAACTCTGTGCAGTCTCTCAAGCACTTTTCCAGTCATTTTATATACAGTTGATGTACTTCAAAAGTCATCTCTTGTTTTGATACTTTGAAAGTGTTGTTTGATAAATCACATTTTTCTTTCTTGCAAATTTGAGTGTGCTGCATTACAACGATAGATGGCACTGTTTGCCTCATTCAGTACTTTGATGCTTTCATGAAATTAGTTTATACGATTATTCCTAGCTTGAATCAAAGTACAAATCAGATATGTAAACTAATTGCTTCTTGCTCAAGTGTAGAAGGCAGTCAACTGCTCACACAATAATTATTTCTCAACTAGCATAAGTGGCAGTTATGAAAATGTTATTAGGGGCTCTGAAACCTTTACTACTTTGATATCATTTCCAGCTCTACCTCAAAGATGCACTTATATAAGGTAGGCAGCAATGTAATACCATGATATGAGTTCTTTCTTTTAAACAATCAAACTTTTTGTTCAACCACCACTCAGAAAGATATATTTTTATTATTTGTATTACAGCTGATGCATAAAACTGTAAGATTGGGATTTGGATTGTATAAAGACTAGTGGGAGTCAGAAATACTGATGGGCACAGTATCAATGGCCCTTGAAAAACCTGGATTACTAATATCTTCATTAGGTAATTTAAAGGTAAATGTAAGTTGCTAGGCCCTCCTGTAGAAGTTGTTAACTGTGTTGGCTGAGTGGCTGCTGTTCTCCCCCAACCATTCCAGCAAAGGATATTGAAACCTAGGAAATCTAGGATATTGAAATAAGGATGAACAGTGACTTCTGGGTGGAAACATGGCAGACTAGCATGTCTCTGCAAAACAGTGGGGATGATGCAGAGGCAAAGACCGACAGCTGGGAGATATGCTTGAACTAACAGAGCTTCTTCAGACAAGGAAAAGCCATGTGATTGCCCAGAGGGCGACCTGCAAGTAGAGCACTGGGAGCCACAGAAGAGACCATGCTCACATCCTTGCGTGAAGCCTTTTTAAAGTAGACACTGATCCACTTCTTTCTTTTCTCTTAACTGTATTGTTTCTTGCACTTTTTTCCCCTTTTCCTATACTTCTTTTATGTATTATTTATTTGTCTTTCATTCAAGTAAAAATTCTCAGTACAAATTATTTTAGAAAAGAGATAAAGGCAAGGCAAGGCAAGGCAAGGCAAGGCAACTAGCTAAGAATTCTGGGACTTCCAGAAAAGAAATGGCAGACTGAAGACAGCTCTGCTAAAAGTGCAGCCGATGACCATGGTGGAATGAAGAGCCGGTGAGTAGATCAGCTCTTTGTAA